ATACAAATTTGTGTGTATTTATACACACAAATATATATACACACACAGAGAGAGAGAAAAAGGGATGGGTCTCACAATGTTTGCCAAGGCTTGTCTTGCACTCATGGCCTCAAGTAATCCTCCAACCTCAGCCACCCAAATATAGACCCTTTTCTTAAATTTGAGTGCATATGAATTCAAGCTGCCTTCTTGATTTGATTTAGCTCAATATTAAAAACCTTAATCAAGCTCCTTATACTTGTAAGGCATTGTTGAAAGTCGAAAGGGAAGTGTTTAAACATCTGCAACATGGTGCAGGTGGTTCTAGGGAAGAGGTGAGTGCGGTGAAGTCAAAGAAAGGAGCCAAGATAGGTCAGGCAGAAATTAACACTGTCCACCTCTCCCGAGAAGGAGGAGGTACTTTTAAAACTTCTCATATTAGACATACGTCATATTAATGTTTTTCATTTTAATCAACCATTTAATGCATTTGTAAACCCTTCTTTAAAAAGAGAAAGAATATAATATCATTATAAATTATGAAATTGCATTGTATGTACAAGCACTTCTACAGCCATCCCCCAAAATTTGTCTTGTGCTGGTTGGTGTTTTAGATCTTTATGTTGTTTGTTGTTGTCTTAACTACGTACAAATGTCTGGAAAACTGATGAGTTCTCATACAGCTAGTCTAAATATAACTTCAGTATTCATTCAGCCATAATCGTCTATCAGCTGGCCAAGGCGTTTTATGATAATGACTCTATGAGTGTGTCATTAGTCAGACTCTGAAGTCTCATTTAAACTGTCAAGTCCATTTGTTAGGAGGGAAACACTGTCTCCAGTCTCTTTGGAATTTCCCAGGAAGGGTAATAGACTTTTTGTAAGTGATTAAATGTCCTTGGCATTAAAAGAAAACAAACTGCCTCTGATTGAACCTGAGGAATTGGGGGGGAGGGCAGTCCTCTCTATTTTATTTTTAAAAATAAGTTTTAAAATATTCGTAATAAAATATTTTTTTGAAAAATGATTGCTGGGCTTAGACAGCTGAGTTATGAATGAAGAGCCCTCGCCACCCTGCCCATCCCACGGGCCTCAGCAAACTGGAGCTTATCATTTGCATTAGTAGTCACTTAGAGGGTGGCAGGAGAATAAGGCACGGTAGGCCGGGCCTGATGACTCACACCCGTAACCCTAGCACTCTGAGAGGCCGAGGCAGGTGGATTGCTTGAGTTCAGGAGCTCAAGATCAGCCTGAGCCAGAGTGAGACCCCGTCTCTAAAAAATCATTATGGTGGGCACTTGTAGTCCCAGCTTCTTGGGAAGCTGAGGCGGAGGGATCACTGCAGGCCAAGAGTTAGAGGTTGCTGTGAGCTATAATGCCATGGCACTCTGCCAAGGCCAACAAAGTGAGACTCTGTCTCAAAAAAAAAAAAAGTAAATAAATAAAAGACAGAAATGAAGCCCTTGAGAAGAGAGAAGCAAGCCCATTTCTTAAGGCTGCAGAATGGAGCGTGCCTTTGAGAGATTAAAGTCAGAAAGCATCCTGGGCAGAAATCATATGTAATAGCCTTGCATACATATCTTCTCAAAAGAATGCTGCTTATGAAATATCCTTTGACAAGGGCAGACAATTAAACTCAAGAACTTATCCTAGAAAAAGTGCTACATACCTTATTGCTGACTATCCCTATGATCGCCTTTGAAGTGTTCCCCTTGGCCATCTGGTGACTATAGTGTTATTCAGCAGTGACGTATGTAGCACCTTTTTTAGTATGAGTTTTCAAACTTAATTGTCTGACCTTATACAACAACAGCTCTGATGGCCATTCCAGAAAAAAAGTTCTGAAATGGCTTTGAAGGGTGAACTAGGCCATGGCATCAGTGCATGGCTTCCCAAGGGGACTACTTTGAAGGTGACTGCAGTGATGTTCAGCAATGACGTATGTAGCACTTTCTCTAGGATGACTCCATGAACGTAATTGCCCGAGCTCATATGAATAAGCTACTGCTCATCCATTAAATCCATTTGTTAAGTTCCTGTATGCAAAGCCCAGTGCTAGATAGGGGATCTCAAATGCAACATTTGTCTTTGGCAAACTGGACAAAAAGAATAAGGCAGGTAATACCTAGTCCCTGAAACTTAGAACTGCCCAGAGTCGTGGCTCTGTACTTCAATGACCAGAAATCAGCTTAGCTCAATGCAGACGTAAAATCATCAATAGAGCATCTACTCTCTGTAAGGTTCTAGGCTAGAAACTAAAAATATGAAGGAAAAATGAAGGTGCAGGTCCATCCTTGGTCTCATGAGGAAGACAGAAAGCAAAACTCAGTTACTTAATAGTGCAATATACAGAGTATAAAGTTAACCCATCTTGAAGGATACTTGAGATTAGCAAGTGAGAAAAGATGGGAAGAAGCCGAGTTACAAGATAGCATGGGTAAATGTCAGAAATGATTTGAATAATAATACAACCATGGTATAAAATTATCACTAGCAATTGAGCTCCAGGAGGGGATCTTACCTGTTTTGTTTGCAGTAAGTCCCGCTTGCAGCAGGCACTCATTAAATGGACAAATCATCTAAAGTGCTGCTGGAGTTCAGAGTTTATGGTACGGAGTGACAGTGAGGTAGAACAAGGGCAAAGTCAAGGAGGCCTTATAAGAAGCTTGGATTGTATGGCTATGGGGAAACAGTGAGGACATTTACAAAGAAGGATGGCATGATGCATTTGTGGTCTTGAACTTCAAGGACAAGAAGGCACTTAGGAAACACAAGACTGAGAGAGAGACACAAATTATATAGCTGTTGCTCAAGTCCAGGTGAAAGCTGACCAAGGTAAAATCCGTGGAATTAGGAGACGAGCTAAATGTCACCTAATGCCAACAGAATGGCTAACACAAAAAAGACGGGCAATACCAAGGCTCGTCAAGATCTACAGCCATGACACCCTGAACGTGCCCAATCTCATCAGATCTCAGAAGCTAAGCAGGGCTGGGCCTGGGTAATACTTGGATGGGAGACCAAGTGTTGTCAAGGATGGGGACCCACCAGAATACTCATCTTCTGCTGGTGGAGGACAAATTAAATGTATATGCAGCATAATTTTAAGAAACTGTTAAGTAGCTTCTACTAGAGCAGAACCCCACAATCCCACTTTTAGTTATGCAACAGAGTGCTTATGTGCCCACTAAGAGAGCCCCACAAAGATATGGGTGGGAATGTTTCTAGCAGCACTCTTTATCACAGCTACAATGGATAAATTATGTTATATTCATGCAACAGAGTACTCAAAACATAGTGAAAAATGAATGTGGTTACCACGACACTGATAAATCTCATACCCCTCATGTCAAATGGAAGAGGCTAGACACAGACAATACTATCTGTAAAATTCCAGCTATCAAAGTTTAAACACAGGCAAAACTATTTATTGTGAAGAATGAAGGTCAGTCAGCATAGTGGCTGCCTTAGGGCATCGGGCAGTGGCAGAGGGGAGGTTTCTGGGTCCTGGTAAAATTCTGTACCTTGACCCAGGTGTGGTTACACGGTGTGCTCGTTCTATAATTATTCTCCAAACTATATTCTCAATCCCAGCCTCAGCTTACATACACCCTCCCTTCCCTCCAACCACATAATACAGTTAATACTAAAGTGAAAATGAAAAGGGTCTCTTACGTCTATATCTTATCAAACTTAAGATGCTTATAAAAGATGCACCATTATCTCATATACTACTAAAAAGTATTATATCCAGTTAAAATTTGTGGTAAATTTATGAGTTTTTTAAATGTGACTTTGGTTTCCTGGCTCAAGTGACAGGGTGGGTGATAGTACCCGTGTAAGGTTCAGTGTGAAAGAAGAGTCAGACTCCACGGCAGCCAAGGCTCCTATTGCACGTGTGGCTTCTGGCTGCCCTTGGTGGCTGTCATATCATAACCTGACAGTCATGGAAATGCCGCCTCCCTGGAAATCTTCCTTTCAGGGTTGTGCCCTCTTATTTCTTACACTCCTAGGGCCTGTACTGTCCTTCCAAGGGGCAGTTTCCGCCAAGAAGAGAAGCCGCCTTCCAGGGCCCCCGGCTCTCTTTGGTTCCACACTGCCATTGGGCAGTAAGCAAGGGGTTAAGACAAGCAGGCAAGTTCAGATCCATTAAGGTTATGGCCATAAAGATGGCAAAAACATCTTATGGACCACAGGGGGCCTAGCAGACTGGCGTCCCATGGTGGTGAACGCAGGGAACAGCTGCTCGTCCTCTGCGAGCTGCTCTTCCGTTCAGAGGGTCTTTCACGTGTCTTCCCTTGAGTCAAGCACTCCTGGGGCAGGGGAGCAGAGAACAGAGGCTTGGGAGGGATTTTGGACAGAAGCCACAAGAGAAGAACAAGGGGAAGCCACTGTTCCCACAGAGGGACACCTGCCCTTCCAGTTCCCAGGGGAAAAACGGAGATTGACATGGAACCCCAAACTTCTTACACTCTGCATTCCACCCCAAAATTTCCTCTAAGACCAGATTGGACTGTCTAGAGGTCCTGATGCTCCCAAGTGAAAGGAGTTTAAAAATCACTCCCTCTCCGCCAGCCTCCAGCCTTATTGTGGACCAGGCTAAGGCTTCTTTTGTCTCTCCTCGGTGCCTAGCTTGCTGACAGTGGGTTGGGCACACTGGCCACGTTGCTAAGCTTAACATTCTCTTCCTACCAACTCTGGTCATTCAGGTAGCAAAGCCCTGCCTAGGTTCCCACCAAAAGTTTTTGTCTCAGTGCCAGCTCAGGCCTCAGATTTCTCGGAGGGCTCTGAAACTCCCTTTCTGCCCCAGAACCACCATCCAGCTACCACCTGCGTGGCCACTTGATTCTTAGGAAAGAGATCTTTTGCAGACCTTTTTTTCCCTAGTCACTAGACTACCAGGGACGCAGATCATTTCTAACACCTACCTCCCCCGGCCAAGGCCAAAAGAACTATTTATAGAGACGATGGTTTCAAAGCAGACACTCAGATAAACCATGAAATTCTGCACCCACACTTAGGTAACCCTATTCTCAAGAATCAAAAGAACAATTTGCTGTATTAGAAGTGGAGTCATGGGCAAGCGGGTAAGTGAACCGGGTCCAAGCTGGAGTCACGAGTCTGGGGTTTACTTTAAAGGAACAAATAGAATGGCAGGCCTCAGACAGAATACTGCTGCTGAAGACCCAGAATCATTAGCGTGGGATGGCGTGTCCACTGCAGCACACTGAACACACACACTGAACCCTGATGTTCGTTCCAGGCTTTTCAACCCCCTGTCCCAAAATCCTAACACTATTCCTGGCTGCTAAACTCCACCCTTACTAGAAACTCAAATCTTTGCTCAACCCCAGCCTCAGCTTACACACACCCTCCCTTCCCTCCAACCACATATTACAGTTAATACTAAAGTGAAAATGAAAAGGGTCTCTTACGTCTATATCTTATCAAACTTAAGATGCTTATAAAAGATGCACCATTATCTCATATACTACTAAAAAGTATTATATCCAGTTAAAATATACCGTACCATCCACTGGGAAATACATCTTGATGCAGAGATGTGAAAATTTGAAAAGAAAATGTGCTTCCTAGAATCTAATGTAATACTTTTATCTGGGAAGAACGGGCAATCACAAGCCATTTGCTTTGAGAAGATCACGTAGTAATATGCGAATTAGCGAGCCTTCAAAACCGATGTATAAAAAGCTCAGAGAAGTTTCAATGATTGTGTTTCTTCATCTCCAACACCATCATACGTTTTTGATCTTAGGGGAGAGGACTATTGTGGAGAATCAGATATCTGGCAAAGCTTTAGCATAAACAATTTTGCAAGGGTGCCAAATGTGAAAATACCATGAGTTTAACACGTTCAATGTCTATTTATATTTAAAGTGTCTTTCAGATGATAGAAATGAGGAGCAGTAACTTTACAGTCAGGAACAAAACTCCCCAAAGCCTCAGCATCTCTGCAGTACTTGACCCAATAAAGTTTCACCTTTGTGTATTTGTGAACAGATTTTTGAATTATGTGGAGCTGATGCTGAAAAGTTGGAAGGGAAGATTCAAGAACTAATGTAAGCTGATCTCCAAGACAAAATATACTTGTGACATTTTAAAAGGCGACAGCAAATGTGTTTGTGTTTTTCTTCTCAGCAAATATTACAGTGTTCTATTGGCCTCTGGTCTAAAGCTTTACTGGTTAAATACCGCATTGCAACCTCCCAGCAAAATTGCTTAAAACGGTTGGGCTATTGGAGATGGTGTCATCTCCACTGTCCAGCTTACTGTTTACTGCTCGGAGCACATTCCTCAAGCAGTGATTGTGTGACCTTCACAATGCAGGCCCTGCACAGCCAAGTTAGTAGTAACAGATTGTCAGGTTTTCCAGAGATTGCCAAAGATGCAATTCTTCACAGTGATCAAGGAACAAACAATCGCCTTGTTGCCCTGGTGCATTTCAAACATGTGGAAGCCTCCCCCACATTCAGCCATTGTTGTCATACAAAATTCTCCTGTGCATCCTCTTGTATTTGAACTGTGTCATTTTTCCCTTTCACATCACCTCTCTAAAATTCTTCTATAGGCTCGGC